GGGGGGGTCAATGATGATTTCCTGACATTATTTTAATAAAATCTAACTTTTTATTTTTAGTTATTCATAAAAAATTTCTTGTGTGCATCATGGGCTTCTTTTCTTCTTCTGAGCATGCCTGAAAAGGTCTGGGAAAACCAAAACCACAGTTCGTTTATTTTCCACAGACACATGAAAGAATCTTTGGTAAGATGTGGCTCTCCAACCACGACGACGCAAGTGATGGCGAGGAAGAAACGCAGAGGGGTAAGGTCACTGTTTCTGTCAGCGGATGTGTACAGGAGTATCCAACGGTGATGATTTCAACTGATTTTAATATTTTTTCTTAAGATTATCGAGAAGAGACGCAGAGACAGAATCAATAACAGCCTGTCGGAGTTACGGAGACTTGTCCCAACAGCATTTGAGAAACAGGTACCGACCGACAGTCTCCTGTTTACCTGCTGCGTGCTCAGTGGGTGTGTCTCAATTCAGGGGCTGCATCCTTAGGAGGACCCGGCCCATGTTGACCGCGAAGGCCGGGTTCTCCGAAGACCGAGAAGGCCAGAAGTGTGAGGTTGTGAAATGGGACAGTCTAGCCTTCAGATTTATGTCACCAGCTGTCTCAGTGGAGTTTAATAAACTCAGCCGTCTACTTCTCGCTATCTAAAATATGACAGGTCACTGAAGTCAATTCTCAACCGTCTCATACTTCTGTTTGATCAGTTTTCTGTTTGACGTTTATTCAGCTGTGTGTGAACTATAACTTTAATCTCAGCCAAACAAATTTACTCAGGGACAAATAAAAACCAAAAAAAAGCCAAACAATAACATTTTTAAGTTATCTAAGTGACTTATATATCATGTTTAACCTGAGTAGTGAAAGACCACACGGGGTCTGAAAACGATGATTGCTGTTCTTGCCGGGCTCTAGTGAGCCTTCATCACCCAGTCAGCTATCGAGTTGGCGGGTAACAGACTTCTCCGAAAACGACAGAGCACTTTTGGCGATATGTGATGTCTTGATAAACCGAGCAGATATTTGAAGTTTACACACCTACTTTCTCGCCTGAAAATATGTTAAAACTTTATATTGTGACCCAGAAAGAGCAATATTTCAAACTCTTTAGCTGCGCTCCTCCACCATTGCCGCATTTGACAAGAATTTTATATCATTATGAAAATACTAGTATTGAAAAGAGTAATAAGAGTAATATTACAACTAAGTAGCTGCCGCCATTGTTGGAAACTGGAAATGGCTGGGCCACACTATGAATTCTGGGATAGGTTGGGCCACTAAGGATACATCGACCCATCTTTCAAATTCGGGGAAATGAAGGACGCATTTGTCAGCCTAATTTGGAGCAGCCTTCTAATAGGGACATCGTTCGTCGCGTCGCTTTGACGTAATCAGCCTTCAAATGCGGCCTCCGAAGGATGCAGTCCCTGAATTGAGACACTGCCACGTGTCTGTGCAGCGCTTCCACTCCACTCCAAAATACATTTGAGTGTCATCTGCAAAGAAATGTTTTCTTATATGGGAAATTTCAAGATTTGACCTTAGAAGTAGCAGACAGATGGATTAATAAATCATGAGGTCTAAAACTAAACACTAGACAGGTGAAGTAGGCAGTGAGGAGTTTCACGTACATGCGAGAAGAAACCTGAAATAATCAGCGTAGTTGTCTTGAAAACATTTAACGCAGCGTGCATGTGGACTTGTTTACAAATTGTTGCTCAGTGCATTAAACTATCACAGTCTTAATGGATTTTACAAAAACACAGATATAATCTACAGCAGTTTGTATTTTTAGATTACTAAGCATTAATCACTTGGATGTTACGCTCCAAGTGGAAGATTTTACAGATGATGCATTACATGAGTTTTCTTTGCTTAGCAGTTACATTTTAATCGGACTTTTGATCAGAAGCTTTTGTGCATGGACAGCTGCAATAAACTCACTCCAAGTATGCTGCAAACATGGTTTTTATTTCATGTAAAACTTCAGTACTTGGTGAAAGTGGATCAACCCGCAGGCCTGGTTTGGAGTCACCCTCAAAAGATGATGTTTTACTGGAATCGGTGTGAACTTTATCTGTCGTCCCTCTCTGTCAGAGTTCAGCTAAACTGGAGAAGGCAGAAATCCTCCAGATGACTGTGGATCACCTGAAGATGCTGCAGGCCACAGGAGGAAAAGGTACCCACATTACCCACAATATGATTTTCTACGCTATGGTAACAACAGCTGATTGGTAGCTAGGCCATGACTGATCAGGGTTTGGATTTTGTTCTGCTGACCTTACATAAAAACAGAGTTTCGGTATGTATGTACTGGGAAGTCGTCAGTGTGGAAGTGATGCACAGTCAGATTTTGGAATATTCTAAGTTAAGTAGGCAGAAAGTGACTGAATGTACGTCAGTGTGGTGTCCTCTGAAGTGATACAAACAGGACTGTGTGTGTGTGTGTGTGTGTGTGTGTGTGTGTGTGTGTGTGTGTGTGTGTGTGTGTGTGTGTGTGTTATTGAGAGAGAGAGAGGGCGGTGGTGAGTCCATGGGAAAACGCTGCAGGGATAAAAGCAGTACTTGACCCTGAGCAGCGCTGTTTGCTTTCATAAAGTGGATTGGTGGAGGAGGGGGGCGGGCAGTGTTGGCTGCGTTCACAGGCGGTCTGTGCAGCATTTGTTTGGGTTTACAGCAGCAGAGACGGAGCTGAGAGTACGTCTGGCTCTCACAAACTGAAATCTTAGTGCAAACGTTTCTCTGGAAGTGTTTGGGAAGCAATGACGGCCGTTTGTCACACACAGTGAAGCTGAGCGTCACTTGAAAGTGTTGAATATTGTCACGCCACAGGCTTACATCACTTCCGATCTTCACTCCACTGCAGACCTTTTCAGTAATGAGATACGTCACATTGTTTAAAAAAAACCAAAAAACGTGTCGGGTTTCTGGGATTCAGACTCAGGCCACTTTTGTTTTAATGCTCCTCAGAGCTTCAGACAAACATAAATGAACCAAGCCACAGTAAACGCAAAACTTATGCACAGTACTTTTTATGTTACATCTGAAGGGATCAGGCCTGCCTCCATGGTCAACATTTTTTTAAAGAAATTTAGGCATCTCTGCTGTACTGCATGCTTAAAAGTGTGCAGCGCTGATTTTGGAAAGTGCCTGCAGCCAGTTACCTTCCAGTCCGCTCCTGAAGCACAGCCGGGGCAAATAGAAGACGAGACTTTATTTTCCTGAATTACTGCAAAAACAAAGAAACAAAATACAGCTCAGGCATAAAGACGTCTACAAATAAATCAATAAATAAGAAAGAATGAGGCGGAAAAGTCAAACAAAAAGAGGGAGCATGGCAGGGAATACAGGGGAAGGACTATTTATACACACTAGCCTGAACATCCAGCAGCAGTGCAACAAGACAAAAGTAAAAGCAGTCACACACACGGGAGCAAAGGTAACACAAGACATGAACAAGAAATAACCAAAGGAAACTGAAACAGACACAAGAAGACCCGCAGTGAACACGGAGACAGAAACAGAAAAACAGGACTGACAACCTTAACATCATCATTAGACTCCAAAGAGAATGGAAACAGAGGACCGAGACAGAGAAGAACACGAAAACTCAGATTATTGGTTAATCCAGAGCACAGGTGTTGAACTCCAGGCCTCGAGGGCTGGTGTCCTGCAGGTTTTAGACACGTCCAGCTGATTTAAATGGCTAAATTACCTCCTCAACATGTCTTGAAGTTCTCCAAAGGCCTGGTAATGAACTAATCATTTGATTCAGGTGTGTTGACCCAGGGTGAGATCTAAAACCTGCAGGACACCAGCCCTCGAGGCCTCGAGTTTGACACCCCAGATCCAGAGGTTCCCAAAGAGGGACAAACAGTATCCCACATTGTGGAATTTTAGTTCACAAACACTTCTTATAATGACAAACTACTCCTGACATTTTGGAGATGTCAGATCTTTAAACAGTAAAGTTACGGTGGGATACAAATAATATCAGGCTGATCCTGCCACGATTTGTTCCCCCGGTTCAAATCACAGACAAACAGTATCCCACAGCTGTTTATGTTTTTGCACAGAGAGGCATTTTTTGAAAAATGTATTGATAGCGATGTTGAATATTATTACACAGTATTTTATCTCTATCCGCCATTGTAGAAATTCATCTCATGTAAACAATAACGTGGCGCACAGCGTGACGTGAAAACAGGCACATACCTTTGACGTTGCGTGACGAACTCCGTATTCCTGGTCCACAGTTAAACGCAAAAATCTCCAACCTGACAGGAGTTTAAAATAAGTCTCAGTTTTCGGTGATTCGAAACGCTGTTTACGTGTGGATGAAAGGGCCAAACGCATAGAAACGGCTGAGTTTTCAAAAATACCTGTGTAGGTGTGGACGAGGCGTAAAAGAGTCAGTAGTTTATTTTATTGCTACCTGTAATTTCTTACAGTTTACTTTTATTTGTTTAATTGTGTACTAAATGTTTGAGGTATGAAATGAACCGCACGGGAGTTGGAAAACAAAATATGTCTGTTGTGGTTGAAGGTTGTGATTGTGCGGGGGGGTTATTCACATACATGCTCAATGAAGACATGAGCAGACTTTTATTTCATAGACATTTTAATGTGTAACTGATGTCAGCACTGCTCTGTGTGTCCCAACATGACACACAGGCACAGTGTTTGCATCACCTGCTCAGGTGATCGACTCTTCTTTGTTGTCTTCTACTCTTTTTTAAAAAATTATTATTCTAATTTTACTGGCCAATTAACAAACCAGTTTACAGGTGCACTACTGCTACATTGCATAGATCCCAGCATGGTGCATAAATAGGAGACTGATCAGACACTGAACCCTGAACCTTCAGCTTCACCTGTGCTCACCTGTCCTCCCACAGCTGAGCTTAAACCAACACCCCGTCACCCCAAAGTGACTGAGGGAAACCTGTTTAGTGTTTCTGGTGACGTTTGTGTTTCTGGTGGAGTTTGTAATGACTGGCTGCCCTCATAATTTTTCAATTTGATTTCGAATCTGATTTTAAGCCCCGCCTCCCTCCATGATGTTAACCCCACCCTTTTCTGCCTGCAGGTTATTTCGACGCCCACGCTCTCGCCCTGGACTTCCTGTCTCTGGGCTTCAGGGAGTGCGTGACTGAGGTTTCCCGCTACCTGAGCGCTGTGGAGGGGCTCGACTCTGGCGACCCACTGCGCTCCCGTCTTCTCTCCCACCTTGCCTCCTGTGCCTCCCAGCGTGACGCCGCCGCCCTTACAACTGCCTCCCATTCGTCACACCACCCCCAGCAGCCCCACCCCCTGCCTCACCCGTTCCACCACCCGCACCATTGGGCGGCTGCTTTGGCCGCCTTTCGTCCTTTGCCCTACAGACTTAGCGGGCTGGTTTCTCCAGACGTTGGAGGAGGCGGAGGCTCCCAGCGCGGTGTTGTCTCCTCCTCCTTTTCTTCCCATGCAGACTCCACCTCCTCCTCGCCTTCTTCCTCCTCTTCCTCATCCCTCTTGCTCCCCTGCACCCCCACCCCTCTCTCCGCCTCCCTGCTTTCCCTCTCAGCGTCGTTTCCCATCGCCCTCCACGGAGGCATTCCCATCCTCCCTCACTCCTCCTTCACCTCCTCTGCTGCCAGTCCTCCCGTCTCCTCCTCCTCTTCCTCGCAGACTCCACACAGCAGCAGCGGTAAACCCTACAGGCCGTGGGGAACCGAGGTCGGAGCTTTCTGACTGTGTGCTGCTCACTAACCTCTGCTGACAGTTTAACAGCCTGGAAATGTTTGAGCTCCACGGCTGGTGTTAGCATCTCGTTATTAACTTCTTGGGGATGTTTGTGACTGACTTCCACCTGCTGCTTTCACACACTGGCTCGATTCAGAACAGGAACGTGTGGTTTGTCTCCTCTGAGCAAAGTTTTCATGTTTCAGCTGCTTCAAACTCACAAAAACTTTGTTGTTTAACCGAGATAAGTCAGGTTAAATATTGTTTATTACTAATTTACCTCAACCCCACATATACAATGCTACTTGCCCAAATGCTCACTAAAAGGTGAGATGTGAATGAGTCTGCCACTGAAAATAGGTCCCAACAGATGCCCAGTTTCCTCCTGTTTGTTAAAAACTAGCTTATTGTTCCAGTTTTTAAAACTGAGAAGCTACAGACAAGACGCCAGGTAATGCTGCTTATCACATCCCATTGCACCGCCACACACCAGGTGTTTTTTCACTTTGATGCACCTGCTGTGCGTTCCACATCAGGGGGCAGCAGGGCCGGGGTAGGCACTGGTCTCATGTGTCAGGTTTAACAGCCAGCAGGCTGTGGTTGGTGTTTCTACTTCTGCTTCCTGTATTTAAAATACAGCCCTTCACAGCAGAAACCCTGTACGCTGAAAAACGGCTGTCAGCGTGAGGGACACATAACCAAGCCGCACCACCAGCTTACTGTGCACCCGGCCGGGACGCTTGAGTTTGACTCTTTGACTCTCTCAGCTGCAGTTTGATGGTGTTAAAGAAATCTGTCCACACAGGTATGAAGCTCCATCTACAGGTGATTAACCACAGACTCCAGCACACCAGCGTCTTTTAAAGCAAACCTGACACAAACTCACGTTCACGTTTAACCTGACTAACACAAACGGACTTCTGTCGTATTTGATCGTTTTGATGGAGAATCTATGAAGTGACAGAAAAGTGTTCCCCAGAGCTCAATATTAAATAAATAATATTGCTATTTGATTATATGAAATCTTCTTTAAAGGTTAAAAAAGGTGAACTGTCACTGAACTTTGAGCCAAATGTCTCTGATACCTTGTGTGCCTTGTACAAATAAAGACGACTAAACAGATTTGCTGCTGTAGTGAAAGCTCGAGTCGTGACGTCTTTTTCTTATTTTATTTATTTATTTTTTTATATCTATAATTAAATTGTGAACCGGGCTCAAAAACAGCAGCTCTGCCACTGTTTTTGACTCTGACGTGTCAGGCAGCGTTAAAGTCTGTAAAATGATTTTTCTGCTTCATAAAAGGTGTTTTTTTGTGTACTGACAAGCGTCTCCAATATTTTTCCACCATCATGTGTGTTAATATGGTGGACAGAATATTCAGAAATGTGTTTGCAGTAAAGAGTTTATGACTATTTTTTAACAAAAAAATAAGAAACAACTCTCAGCAGTTACTGAGGGTTAGTGTTCAGAGAGAGATCTCAGGTAAGGCATGAGATCTCTCACAATGTAAATGCCACCTCATAACGTCATAATTACCACAGTAATGAGGTGGCAATTACATGCATGTTTCATCATTGTGTTTCACTGAACCATAAAGAGACTTACTGACAATAAAAAGACCAGAAAAAATTAAAAACGATCACAAAATGTAAAAAAGTAACAGAAAAATTTCCTTAAATAGACACAATGACAAACACGTAAGCTACCATGAGAGAAATAATATCCTTAGTTATTTGACAGAAAAAGGCACAAAAACAAAAGAAAATGACCTCAAAAAGACACAATGACTATAAAATGACCAGAAAGTAGCAAAAACAATACAAAAAGACGCTTTAAAAATTCCAGAAACAAATCCAAAAAATTGGCCATAAAGGGCAAAGAACAAAGAGACAGAGCTGCAAATATACACCAGAAAAACAGCAAAATGACAGAAAAATGCAACGACAAAAACAACACTTCTACCAGGAGTCACAAAATGATGGTAACCAAAAACAAAGAGAAAATTACTCCTTTCACAACATGAGATGAAAAAGTTCAGAGAAACCAGAAAGACACGAGGAAAGGACCGTAACAAAACAATCCTGAGACAAAGTGACATGAATACAAAGACGCACAAAAATGAGACAGACTATCTTGCAGAGACAACCCTACAGTGAGGGGGGAGGGGCTTTTACATGTGTGAGACCAGGTGAGCTGACTTCACCTATTCAGTCAGGTCACGTGATCTTCCTCAGGGCTGGACAAAACAGCAGGTCGTCCACCACAAGGCAAACGTTTTTACCTCAGTATGATGGCATGTGTGACCAACCACACTGTACACACACACACACACACACACACACACACACACACACACACACACACACACACACACACACACACACACTTGTCTTTGCCTTCGTCTTGTGGCTCAATCGCCGTTACAGCCGGTAAATCCTCCCAGAGCACAAAACAGTGTCACTTCCAGCTCAGTGGAGGATTAAAGGCCGACAGCCCTGGGAACGACGCTGCGGGCCGTAAATCTGCTCCGGTCAGCCGACACGGTTCTCACGCTGCGACGCGGCTTTGAATCAAGCGGCAGTAAATTAGGTGACATGATTCATGCTTTATATCCTCACAGAGGGAGAGGACGGATTACAGCGAGGAGGACGTGAGCTGGGCACTGTAGTGAGTACTTACAAACTGATGACACATTTTCATCTCTTAAATTCATCAGATTCCATTTACTGCTCGGCTGTTTGACTTCAGTTAAAAGTGCAAATACCTCACAATAAAAATACTCCATTACAAGTAAAAGTACTGATAACTGTATAAAATACACAGTGACAGTTTCGGAAGTCTCAAGCTGAACATGGTCGCCGTCTACCATCTTTTTAAACCCTCCCTCAGATCAGAGCTGAGACCTGTTTGCTGACACAGGAGTCGCCCTCTGCTGGCCAAGACAAAGAACACAGGTTTAAGGTGCTTCAGCCTTATTTTTCAGAGCAGGAAATCTTCCATCTTTTATATACAGACAGTGTGTGCTGCAAACATAATTCTGAAAACTGAATTTGTGCAAAAACAAGTAATTTGATCAGAAATAAATACAGTAAGCAGGATGTCCATGCGCGTGCAGCTCTGTGCACTCATACAGATGTCTGACATGAAACAACACAGCTTAATATATGTATATCACTCTTACTACATACCATTTCAAATAAATGTCATGAAGTAAAAAGTATGACAGTTACACCCAACATATAGTGGAATTGAAGTAGAAAGCAGCATGAGAACACTCAAAATCAAATGAGTTTATTTCTATGGCACATTTAAAAACAGCTGTTCAGCGAAGTGCTGCACATCTGGAATAATGAAAAAAACAGCACAAACAGTGAGCAGGTTTGACCATCTGTGCTTTTATCCATTTAAAGCGTAAATGTGCCACATTACTTTATTATATCCTTTACTGTTAATATGACATAACATTCATAACGTACAGTCCTCCTCTGTTTCAGTGATGCGACTCTAAGACGACATGAGGGAGAACGTGTTGTTTGGACTTAAGATCTCGATCCAGCACCCACCGGGTCCTGAACAAAGGCCAGACCCTTCCTTCTACCTGCGACAGCAGAAACAGACTGTCATCAGTGAAGTTCAAGGAGAGAAGCTGACTTCCATCCACTCCTTGCAAAGTACAGGCCTCAACTCAAACAGGCGACCTGACCAGCTGTGTCTGCGCGCCCCCTGCTGGTACAGACGTGTCAGCAGCAGAGCGCAGATGAGGTTCTTCAAGACTGAGGAAGATTTTTTTACTTTTTCAAACTTCACAATGTTTAATCTAATCACCAGTCACAGAGGCTCAAAAGCTTTTTCAGTTTAAAAAAATCAGTTATCAGTTAATGAAAGGCCACCTGCAGGACAGGTAGGGGCTGATTGGTGAACAGTGGAGTTTGGCTTCACTATGGTGGTGTTTTGAGGCTGGACCGCTGACTGAAAAACTCACCTGTCTCTGGTTTCTTGACAAACCTCACTCCTTGCTCTTCAAATACCTTGCAGGCAGCGTAAACATCAGGAACAGCAATGCCGATGTGACCTGCGTGGAAGCAGGACAGCAGTGACAACCACAACAAGTCAAGCATTGAGAAGCAAACGAAACGGTCTGAACGTTGAACAAACAAGTTCTCACCAAATCCTCACGGCTCATTGTTCCCGTTGTGGTACGACAGATCTGCATCAGACTCCGTGCCCCAGTTACTGACAGGTGGAGGAATATTATTTATTATAAATAATACTCATATCGAGTTTAACTGTTGAACTGGTTGTTTCCATACGTACTGCGTGAGCTCCAGGGTAGCTCTGCGGGAAAATGTCCACACTGTCCTCTCCTTGACATCTGCCGGGGTGTCCGCCTTGTCCTCGTAACCCAGGGAGTAGAAGGTGAAGCGCATTGAAGGGAAGTCGATCTTCTGCAGCAGCCTAGAGAGCACAGAGCACTGGGGCGGTTAGGGCAGAGCAGCACGGGAGAAGTTTGGGATCAGACTGAGGAATTACATCATGCCCAGGATTCGAGTGTAGAAGTCCAGCGAGCGAGCCGGATCTTTGACCCTCAGCATCGTCTGCTGCAGCATGTAGTCCTGCAGAGAGCAGGTGGGGGAGACCAAAGCAGAACTGAAAGAAGGGTAAACACTGGACTCCTCTGTGCCTGTGCACTTCAAAATAAGAGCAGGAAACACAAACCAGAATCCTTCACATGAAATTTGTCATTTCGTGTCATCCAGACGTCGTTTTATGTCACTTTGTATCACTTTTGTGTGTTGTTCAGTGTGACACATAGGAGGACACGGAAAATGAACTTTAACATGAATGCACTGAGATTCAGGATAACACGACGGGCGAGTCAGGAGCAGCGCCCTGACTCGCTCTGACCAATTCAGTTCAATTCAATTTTTATTTAGCAGCGCCAAATCACAACAACAGTCAACTTATATTGTAAGGTAGACCCATACATATGAGAAAAACCCAACAATGTCCCACTATGAACAAGCACTTTGGCGACAGTGGGAAGGAAAAACTCCCTTTGATTCAATTCAATTCAATTTTATTTATATAGCGCCAAATCACAACATAAGTCGCCTTTGAACAGGAAGAAACCTCCCACAGTACCAGGCTCGGGGAGTGGTGGCCGGTTGGGGAGAGTCACACACAGTGACTGGCTTACAGCTCCCAGAACAGACTGTGAATGTGCTGTGGCGTCAGTCTGTAAGTCTGTGTACTCAGGTACATTCCACAGGTGCTGGTTGGGGATGGGCAGGACGCCTTCAGTCTGATGGTGGAACGATAACAACATTTTCACATAAAACTGCAGCTTCACATAAAGCCCTTACGATAATTCGCGATTATGGCTTTTATACTCATTATTTTAACAAACCTCTCAACTTTACCTGAGTTTCAGGTGTTTAGCCTGCCTGTGAGTGTTGCTGTGGTCTCCTGCATGTTTACACACAGCCATTCAGCGATCAGTCCTGACTTTTGACCCTGTGCTCGAGCTATAGAATCAAATCTGAGCTGTGAGGTTTGAAGCACTGACCTTAGTAAGGGCGTGTCCCTCTGAGCAGGCGGTAGACGCAGCCTCGTCCATTTCTCAGATTCCACTGATGAACGCCATCGGCGGAGCGGGGGGGGTAGCTTACTGGGCTAAACAAACACTGATCGGTTTCAGTTATTTACTGATGAACACAACAATGGACATAAGGAGCTTCTTTCAAAGAAAAAACTCAAGTAGATGTTATTTTATATATTATGCTTTGTATGTTGTTCAGTATATTTTTATGCAAAACAAGAGGAACTTCAATACACAGCAGTATATTCACAGTTGAAACCAGATATTTACATACACTTTAGGGAAAAACATAAAAACCTTTTTTTTTGTAAACATCAATTTAGAGTAAACCTGCTTTGTTTTGGATAAATAAATATTGAAAGATCTTTTGAATTAGTTAAATGTCGGAATAAGAGAGAGAGCTGTCTATTTTTTATCACTTTCATCAAATGTAGGAGCACATATACACTAAGTTTATTGTTAATTAATAAGAAAACTCCAGACGATTCCATTCTGAGCTGAAGAAGCTTCTGATAGGTTCGTAGAGTCCATGTGAGTAAATTGGTGGCACAGCTGTGGATGCATATAAGGCAAAACACAGAGTCTGTTTCTTTGACATGGGAAAAATCAAGAGATGTCAACCAAAACACCAGGAACAGAACTGTGGAGCTCCATAAGTGTGGCTCAGTTTTGAATACAATTTGGTGCCATTTACAATTAAGAAATACAGATAGTTTCTCTCTTTGCTCTTAAAGTTAACAAATATGTTTTTATATTTATCAATCTAAAAAAAATAAACATTTAGTCTGATTTGATGTTACAATTAAAAAAGTGTTTTTATCTGAAGAGTTTGTAAATATCTGGTTTCAACTGTATGTTTGATGATGTTGATGTTTGGCTTGATTGTCAGCACAAAGAGGGAGAGAGAGGAACAGAGAGGGAGAGAGACAGCAGGTGAGACACACATGTTAGTCAAACGGTTGTTTGCCAAAACTCATCAGAACATGTATCTAGTACCTAATGTAACTTTTTAAATACCATTTGTTACTTTTCAAATTCTACATTTATTAAGTTATGCAGGCTTGTTTGCACAACAAGGCTAAATAATTATATAAACTTTTCTCAAACTAAATAGTGGACTTTGGTAGAATTAAAAAATAAGTGTAGTGCAGGTCTATGATGATTTTTAGTGCTACTATCATCTAGTTCTGATTCTGGTTCTGTCTTGGTTAAATCCTAAGTAGTCCTGATTTTGAACTGTTGTGTCCTCTTTTAATTCCGGATCAGTTCTGGGTCTGGTTGAATTGGGGTTTAGTCCTCGTGTCTTGATGAAGCCCTGATTTTGTTCTGCCTTGCTGCTTAATTAAAAAACTAGTTTAAGGTGTCCTGCATATGTGATATATATTTTTTCCTATATGAAGTCATTCCTTTTTTGAACAAAACTCAAAACACTTCACTTCAACAAATCTTTCAGTCATTTCTAAACATGAAACACACACGCTGGGTAAGTTTTGGGGTTTTTTTTGTTGAAGTTGAGACTTTAAAAAAGAGAAAAAAGTTGTTTTAAAATTTATTTTAAAAGATGAAATCATGTCTCTATAAATAAACATGCAGGTGGTGAACTGGGGGTGTGATTAAAAAGCCATTTAAAGTAAAATGCATAGTTTGAGATTATACAGTACACATTAGTCTCTTTAAAGTCTTCATTATCTGATGAATCCGAGCTGAAATCACCAGATTCTAAAAAGCTGGGACGCTGTGAAAAATATCCATAAAAACAGAATGTAAAGATTTGTAACTATTCATCATAAAAAGGCAGCGACACGTCTCAACCGGGCAACAAAAGTAACATGACTGGACAGAAAAACAAAAAAAGACTTTAAATATGGAATCATCTACAGTAAACACACTCCTGATCAAAAGTCTAAGACCACTTGAAAAATGGCAAAAAAAAATCATATTTTGCATGGTTGGATCTTAACAAGTTCCAAGTACAGCTTCAACATGCAGCAAGAAGAAATGGGGGTGAGACAAAACATTTAATGAGCATGCAATTTACTGAAAACAAAGCTTAAACTGAAACAGGCTGTTTTACAGCTGATAAAAAATTTAGGAACACACCTCCAAAAAAAGAGTAATGAGTAGCTCCACCGTTATTGTTGATCACTTTAAAAATTCATTGCGGCATGCTTGATGCATGAAGTGAGTGGGAACATTTTTCCAAGTGGTGAAGACGGCCACACGAGGGGCATCTACTGTCTGGAACTGTTGTCCATTTTTGTAAACTTCCCCAAAGGTTCTCAATTCAGTTATTACTGAATCATCAATATCATCATGACCATCCTTTAGTTATGCTGCCAGACTCAGGCTGCTGCAAGACTTCCCATGATGCACTGGGAATTTTATACGTCACCACTGCCTTTCATTAACTTGATTTCTCTCTTCTCAGGTTTGTTTCGTTCTCATCTCTGCTCCTATCAGAAGATTGCTGCTTGTCTGTGATCCTGGTTCTGTCTCGTTCTGCTAAAAGGGAGTTTTTCCTTCCCACTGTTGCTGATAGGGGATCATCTGATCAGAAAAGCCCCCTTATCTTTCATTTAAATGTAAAAATATAGACAAAAAATGAAGCTTTATATATGAAATCCATTTTCTTTCAACATAACTTTGACATAATTCTCCTTCTCAGTGAGGCATGCTTGTTACTATTATTAAAATTATTATTACACCTGCGTCAATGACAGAAAGATAAAAATAAACGCTGTTTAACAGAACATGAAACATTACAACTTGTGTACAGTGAACATAAAACACTCACAGGTACAAATATCTTTACATGCGACTGATAATCCAGAAATAAACCCATGAACTACGACCATCTTTCCACTAAAATCACACAAAAACATTTTGATGTTTAATGTTTCTCATCATAAGATGAATGAAAGAAGATGAATTCAATGCTGTTTTTAAAATTTAGAATAAAAGCAGGTCAACATTGATGCTTTATCAGTTTATGTTTGTCTCCTGCCATCTTAATCCCTATGTTTTCAGGCTGGGACATTTACCAAAGTCCCTGCCTCACTTACTTCCTGAGATTGTCAGTGAGACAACAACATCAAATTTTTATGTGTTTTGATTTGTCTGGTTGTTTTAATGAGAGAAGAAAAAGGTCAAAAACAAAACACTGAAAAACGTGTTACAGTGAAGCTTCAAACAGACTATCGTTTATTGTTTTTTCCAGGGGAAAAAAAAAACAACAAAATAAAATTGTTTCACAAAATGGGAACAAATTCAATTTAAAAAGTGACCTAAGAGAAATATACATTTATGCATTTGTACGAGCTGAAATGCTTCACTCCTCCCGCGATGCGTTCACAGTCCGATGTGTCAAAGAGTGTGCGCTTAAACGAGTGCAAACGGAGGATAAACAGCAGCCTTTTTTCAGAGCGAGGCACATCCGTTATCTCCGCACCGTCTTGCGGTTCTCCAGCAGCAGCACCACCAGCCGGCTCTTAAGCGTGGGTAGTTTGTTGCCATAGTTCTCCTGCAGAACTGTGTTCATCCGGCAGCGGAGGCTCCGCAGGCTCGGCAGCGAGCCAGAGTCTGGAATGTTCAGCAGCGTGTGAAACAAGTCCAGCCACAGGTCGCTGTGAGGGTTTCTGGGGGGGGGGTGGTTTACCATCAGCACACATATGCACCAAAAACAAGGTCAAATAAAGACAAATGGGAGCTTCCTTTGAGCACTCACCTTCTAAACACGCCGTTCGTCTTCCACACGCCTCCTTCGTTGGTCACCTGCATGTACGTCCCAAACAGCATGCAGTACACGGTCCCCGCAATGCCAAAGTAGTCGGTCTGAAACCCAAACAACAGTCAGACCTTCAGAATAAAACTCGTTTTCCATCTTTAAAAGGAGTCTTCAACAAAATCTCCAAATGTTTCTTTCTATAAAACATGTGGGGGCTCCAGATGTCGTGGTTCACACATCGGGTGAGATGCAAAAGCTCTCTGTTTGAGAACAGAAGGCGACAAGCCTTTTGGCTTTGTGTCAGGAAATGATCGGCTATATGAAGGCACAGCTGAAAATAGAACCATCAAAAACAGTCATCAGGTCATGAAATGTGTTCATGACACTTCCCGGTGTTCCTCTGAGTGTCTGAGGGACGCCTGAGAGTGATGATCAGCTGAACCCTATAATCCCCTTTAAATTGAGAGAACTCAGCTCATACAAGAGCTACAAGATCATTTCCCATAACATCATGCTCTTTTCATTCAGCCAGCTGACTGAGTGACCTGCAGAGATGAAACTCATCATACAAAGACACAGGCTACCATCACAAACTATCAGATGTGCAAATCTAAATATGAATTATCGCGAGGAAAATGAGACCAGCAAGACCTTTTTAATGAACCTGGAAACTTGATAAGCTGAGTTTTGGACTTTCCATTAGATTAACAACACTACAAAGTTTCCCGTACACAACTCCAGGGACAGAAACAACAAACACTGGGCGCTAACCCACAGAGACATTACTCTTAGCTCTCAAACACATACAGAGTATGAGAGAAGCTGCAGCTCAGGAAAAACCGCACTACTGTCCAATGCTGCTGAAACGTGACAGTGTTCGACCCTCCCTGTGTATGTTAATGCCTCTTCTTGTCCTTGCTGTGCTCACCTGGTAGTTCCACGGTTTTCCACTCAGCATCTCTGTGCACTGGAAGCCCGACGTCAGGCACTTGGCAGTGAATGCAGTGCCTGCTGGGAAGAGCTCCATGTCGATGCTCTGCCCGAGGTCGACAAGGACCAGGCCGTGGTCCGTGCTCTCTGAATCAAAACGCTTGTTCTCCAAGAACCTGAAGGACACGAGTGATGACGAGGCGTTTCAACAGAGCCTGAAACTGAAGTGTCGCGAGGGGAGGACCGGGCCTGCCCGCCTCACCTCTGACACTTTTAAGCTGCAAATACGAGCAGCGCAGAGATAAAAGCAGCGTGTGATTGGTACCTCTCTCCCAGCAGGAAGTTGTCAGGTTTGATGTCGGCGTGGATGATGTGGATCCTGTGCAGCAGCTCCACCATGTGGAGGATGCAGACGGTGAAGTACATGACGAGGGGCTGAGGCATCACTTTGTCACTGAGGGTTCTGTACATGTTCACAGCGTTCTGCAGGTGGAGCAACAGCATTACAGTGAAACAGAGAAGCTTTAAACCGACCGAATAGTCTCTGCAGACTCCACAACAATGGTTTAAACCCTCATAACAACTTATGGGGGGAAACTGTTTTTATTATTAAGGCTTGTATTTGTAAAATTTGATACCAAATAGGCTGCTTGGCTTCAATTCCACTAATTAGAGCCCCTAAACTGGACGTCTGGACTGTGTGCCGTTTTAGCCTTTTTGGAGCATTTTTAATGACATCATCTGACGAGTAACAAGGCTGCTGTGAGGTTACCGTGCCAACAGACCGACCCACATGTCCACGCTCAGCTGTGGCAAGCAAAACTCTAGTATTTAAAGTTTCTCTTCCTTCATACTGATTAACAGTCTTTGTCATCCATGTTATGGATTCATTATGTGCTCAACTTATTGTTTAATTCACTGAAAAGTGACCACTAGAAAATTCTGTAACAAAAGTCAAGTTACATAAACACAGATCAAATCCGAAATTATGGCGCAAAAACTAAGAAACCAACAAATTACTGGATTTTAAAAACATATATACAAAAGTAAATTTATATCCATAAATCCACACTGACAGTAACTGACCAGCAGGGTGCCGTAGCTGTGAAGCTCACCGAGCAGCACGCTCCCGTTATGGAAGAGGTGAGCTGAGTGCATACTGCTGTAGAGGTGACGGACGTCGGGCCTCACCCGAGCGTCGAGCTGGGTGTTGATGTAAAACTCCCAGGGATTGGCCGGCTTCTGAACCTGCAGCGAGGACACATGTGAATCCTGCGGTCATGTCCAAATGTCTCTGAGAACACGGTTCATTTCTGAGATGATTCAATAAGATTTGTTTCACCACTACATTAAAAAACAGGAGCTGAGTAACACAGAGACAGGGACGCGGCACTCTTCATCCGCAGCCTCACCTTTAAAACGGTCTTCTCTAAGGTCACGGGGTTCGTGGCCTGGTAAACTGTCGCAAAGGCTCCCTCTCCAAGAACGCAGTCCACTCTGAGGGACTCCTTTCCTGTCACGACACAAACATTCATCGTTTCAATCAACACAGCGTACAGTTTTTCTCTGCAGCTGGATCAAAGCCAGACTTCCACACCTAACGGAGCAGGCGCTGCAGATCTTACCCATGCTGATGGTCATTTTTGGAGTGATGTTCGGTATGTTGCACTGCCAGGTGGTGCAGCGCGGATGTGTGGCGAGAGGCGGGCTGAGTCCAGACAGCAGGCTGGAGATCAGTTCGGTGTCCCAGGGATCCGACATCAGCTGGACTGCCCCCGTCTGGGCTTTCTGCGGCGTGTCACTGTTCATTGAGATGTCAGCGCTCAGCCTCAGCCCCCTCTCTGGACTCATGGGTTCATCCTCCCTGCTGATTGATGTCGGGCTCATGGGCACGTCAGCACAGAGCTGTGGGTGCCCTGGACTCATGGGGAAGTCCAGATTCTTGGGCTGATGGGGACTCAGGAAGGCATCCAGGTCTGGCTCGGCCATGGCCTCTGGGCTCCTGATGGCTAGCCAGTCTGGTTTGAGAGCACCCTCGGGGCTCATGGGAACGTCACAGACCTGATTCTGGGCTTGCTGGGGGCTGCTGGGGGTCTCTAGGTCCTCCATGATCTGAAAAGGTTCGCTCATGGGTCTGCCTGAGATGAAGGAGGCCTGTTTGGGTGGCTGCTCGGGGCTTGCATACACCTCCCAGCCGGGCCCCGCTGTCCTAGAGGAGTCGACAGGACAGAGCGTCTGGTCCCTGAAGGAGAGCACGCCGGGAGGAGGAGGCTGCACCATGGTGAGTGAGGACGCAGTAAGGCAGTGCTGGGCCGCTGCAAACTCCTCTCCCACGATGGTGCCCTGCCTGGCAGAGGAGGGCACCGTCTGGCCGACGGTGCTTTCGTCGGTCGGACTCTGCTCCAGGATGGGGCTAACAGAGGAGAGGACACATCTGTGACATCTGCACTGATAACAGTGACACGAATGGGCAGTGGATACCTGAAGACTGATTACCTCAGCTTTTTGGTCTGACGCCTCAGGTAAGCTTCTTCATCAGCTTCCCCCTCACTTTTATTCTCTGTGGGGCAGAAACATTTATTATTTAGGGAAACTTTAAATTACTTTCAGCTTGTTGTTAAAATGACACAGGTGCGGAGGCTGCGGGAGGAATAAGCTGCAGGTTTGGCTCCTCTTACCTCGGTCCTCGAGGAAGTCGCTGCTAATAAAGGTTTTGCAAGTGAATGGCGTGGAGACGAACTGAGCCAGCATGGCGAAGTCTGTGGTGCTGTTGGGACAGGCGGCGAGCGAGTTGAGCGAGTTGTAGCGAGCTCCCCACATGGTGCTCTCATCTGGGATCAGATCTGAAGGAGTCTCCTGATGAGGATAAGAAAAACACGAGGATGTGAACCTGAAACAAACACACCAAACACTCGTCCAGAAATCTGGAATTTAGCTTAACATAAGTAAATTCACTCACGTTGGGTTTGTCTGTCTTTGACACCGGGATTTCAGCCAGAGCTCTGACTCCTTTAGGCTTCTCGGCATCAGCAGGAGCAGCGGCACTAAACAGCACAGGGACAAAAATAACAGGAACACTTGGCTGTCATGAAGATGCACTTCATTTTATCCTCAAGGTTTCACAGCAGCACAAACATTAAGATGAACTGATCTACAAAAAACATACGACAGAATGAAATGTGTGCCGTTCTGCACCTTGACCCCAGCAGCTGAAAGAGTCCACGACAAACAGGAATTATTTAAAAACGGGGGTTTGTGGGTTTTTCTCATAAAATAAGTGAAAAATATGTCTGTGTTTGTTTTAGCAGCCTTTAGCAAACACCATTTCCCAGAAGCCTTGAGTGTTTGTGAACTAGGTCTCTCCTAGTAATGACATTTAAATCTCAGTGTGAGTTCAGTGAGACCTGAAGCTGGAGATCACATCAACATCTGAGTGGAAATCAAAAGTTAAATCCTCCTGAAAGCTCTTTTATTGCATTCACTACACGAGCTAACAGAGTAAACAACTGTTAAAAAAAAAAAGTCTATAAATTACCACCTTTATTATTCATATTCAAAATTAAAAGCACTAAAGTGTCCCCGAGTCTTCTCAGGCTGAAGCACAAAATTCTCTTATCCTGGATAAGCAGAAGAAGATGGATGGATACAGGACATCCAGCACAGACAGAATATCACACAGGTACAAGTACATGGGAGTCTAACATCACAGCTGGGGTTTAGGGTGTCCACAGTGTGGGGGCCATATTTACCTGCCGTTTTCTTTGTTGTCGTCATCCTGAAAGATGGTGAATGGAGTCGTGGTGGGAGGCTTAGATAATGAGGAGGCTCCTCCTGCTAATCATCAGAGACAGAATAATTAGGTTATCTGGAGCGAGACCAAGAATCAGTCTCAGAGGTTCAGGCCTGAGTTTGCTTTGACTCAAACAGGAGGAACATTAATTTTAAGCACTGGTGACCGGATCCAGTTAGATTCTGTGAAAATTATCCCCACTGTGTTCAGAGCCTATTTACCGCCTATCCAGAATCCGGCTTCAGACTCCTTCTCGGCAGCGTGGAGGACTGATGTGCTGCTGAACGGTTCCTCGAGTAAGGTCGGAGCCTGGAACATGTCCATGATCACGCCTGAGTCGACACAAAGAAGAAAAGTACTCAGTGAAGGAGTTTTTACCACAGCCGCCAAAGCCTGAGCAGCAGTGAAGAGCAGTTTGATTAAAGGACAGAGACATAACATGAAAGTAACTCTTTGCATCCAAAAACATTAAATTTGATATAAAAACACCTCTGACGTGACAGCAAAGAGACAAACTGTCGTGCTCACCCAGCGCCTCTCGTGTGTTGACAGTAGGTGATGGCAGCACCCGCGACGGCGTGGCCTGAACGAAGCCGAGCGAGTTATTAGGAGTGACGTGAGACAGGTTAGCTGTGGCTCCCTGCGACACTGAGAGGGACAGAGAGGGCTGTGACTACATCCACCAGAGACACGCAACAGCTCGACAAAATAAAAGCACACTTACCATCAAGCTTGTCCTCTGCAGGCAGACCCACATCCCTGAGAGAAAGACAAGATCAGTAACGCATCTAAAATCATTTCAATCAGCCATCGAAATCATCATCATGTGTGCAGGAGAATTTCTAATAAAATCGGAATACAATTCATACACGGGATGACTAACTGACTAAAGAGAAAGCTGCTTATTACTCCATTACTTATTGTCACAAACTTTATGGCACAGGCATCATGTAGTGATGAGCCCATCAGCAGGGCTTGAACTTTAACAGAAATCAGACTGTCCAATAATAAAACGATCGGTTCTCTTGGAGGGACAGAAAAATAAAAATAAACTTGTGTGGGAAACACGGCGTACGGGGGGGGGTTTGTTTCCTAAAAACAGTGATATCATGATATTAAATATTAGGTTCAATGTTTTCCTTGCACAACCAGAAACCTATGCTCCACAGAGTATCAGAAGCAGTGTCGAGGGAGTTAGAGGGTACTCACGTTGCATTGTTCTCTGGGGGTGGGAGCCTGTCTGTGCTCTCAAAGCTCACAGGCTGATGAAGTGACGTATGTGGGACCGCTGAGGCCCAGGGGAGCGGCTCCCGATCTGCAGACTCATGCAAACCCACATCCCGCTCAGCTGGGACAGAGGGATGATGGGATGCCACCGAACTTAGCGTGTCAATGTTCTGCTGGTGAGGAGGTTCGGGAATGCTGGCGGTGGCCTCTTGGATGAAGGTCGGCTCGGTGTTTAATCTCAAGCCAAGAGAGCGCCGGCTGCTCAGACGGTTTGAGGGCGGAGGTTGCTTGAAGGAGGGTTGGGTAAGACTCAGGTTTACATCGGCAGCAGTTTCTGCTGCAGGCAGCTGAAATAAAGAAGAAGAAAAGCCTCTCAGACTGACGCAGTGAACCCGATGTGCTTATCACTCACTGTTTTCATTCTTGGATGCTGCTAGAGCAACTTTGCATGATTCGCAGCACAGACTAATCCTTATTTGTCTATTTTTGCTGGCACTTTGGCTTTGAGCCTGAAGCTTAGGCCTCTGATGCACATTCAGCACAGCCTATTGCATCAGGATGCTTTTGTCTTACCTTTTGAGATGAAGTCTGTCTGATTTCAAGATCGCAGAAAACTTTCTCCAGCAACCATTTATTCCTATCCTCAAACTTGCTCGGTGTCAGCGCTGACATGAAAACAATAAAAAGGACATTTACTAGAAATCCAGACAAGTGTTCGCAGCACGGATTTATTTTAGCTGCAGAATTAAAAACTCACTGAAGTCTGTCTTGTCTTTCTCCTCCTGCTCACGGAGCTTGCGGAAGTAATTCTGAGCTCGGGCCTCTTCGAAGCATAGCTCAGATTCGTCGCAGACGAGATCTTCTACCGTGTACTCGGACACGGTCTGAATGCCAGAGCCCTGACTGGTGGGAATTGTCCCGGAAGTCTCAGAGCGAGAGACTCTGTGAGCGACAGAAGAAATCAGGTGACATCATGCTGTTAAGATCCTCGAAACTGTGCGAGTGTAGATGAATGTAAAGTGAAGCTCTTCTGCTTCTATTCTCTGTCACAGAAAGCCCATCCCAGTACACGAATTTTTACATTAACTGGAAGAAATTCCACATGAATCAATCCCTGTGAGCCCAAAGCCATCATCAGGCAAAGCTACTCTAGGATCAACAGCTGACATTTGCCACATTATGACTTTCTAAGATGCTTATTCCACCTTTGATGAGATAAAGGAAGACAGATTTAAAAAACAGAAGATCTTTTTCCAAAAAATTCCAAATAAAACAAACAAACCCTCCTAAGACACTTTTATTTACTGTTCCTGTGGTTAATGTAAATCTAATTTGCTTCCAGAAACACAGTTAAAGGGTGACTTAAACTCTTTCCCCCCCCTATTTCTGTCTTTGAGCCTCTTCCTTTTTCATCTCATGGCTGTAACATGTTGTGTTGGTACGAGCGCACTCTGCTGACATCAGAAACAGGAACCCCAAAAACTGAGTTCAATGTTTCACTCACATGTCGATGAATTTACTCGCAGGTGGTTTGGAGGGACAGTCCACAGACATCTGTGACAGAGGACGCACAGTGTGAATGGAAAAGCAGAAAATGGCATTCATGCACAATTAGGATGAAAAACCAGAGATAAACACACCTTGTTCTGAGTGACAGGCTCTCTGTGGGGCACCTGATTGGTTAAATTAGAGTTCTGCAAAGGGTTTCGACTTCCTGCTTCATAAAATAGACATATAAAAATAGTCAGACAGTAGAGCAACAATAAAAATTTCTAAAGAAAGAAATCCAACATTATATAATAAAGGAACTTTTAAATAAACCATCTTACCGGACACTGCCGTCTCACTTCTGGTTCTGGTCTGAAACTGCCTGCAGATGAGAGTTTCTGTATATAACAGTATATAACATGCAGCACAGTAACATACCGCTGTCACTGCATGTGTAGAGTGACTACACACAGCCAGATATCATTGACATTAGAAGGCCAGATTAATATCCAGGCTTCAGTTGTTAACACAGACTTTAAATTCTTTCACTTCTTAATTGCACCATCCCTAAAAGATTACAGCAATATTAGAGTTTCCATACCCCAGATTATGTGAACGTCCTGCCCAGACAAGAGTGACGTAAATGCCATCATCAGAGGGTGAACGCGAAGCTCAGAGCAGATGCTCACACTTTATTACTGCTGGGGCTTTCCATCACGCTTCCTTTAGTCTCAAACTTAAATGAGCTGTGGGCCAGTGCTGGCACGGTCACCTCATGCAGGGCTCTAGACCAGGGGTGGGCAACTCCAGGTCTCGAGAGCCAGTGTCCCTGCAGGTTTTAGATGTGTGCTTGAACCAACACAGCTGATTTAAATGGCTAAATTAGGTCCTCAACATGTCTTTAAGTTCTCCAGAGGCCTGGTAACGAACTAATCATGTGATTCAGGTGTGTTGACCCAAGGTGAGATCTAAAACCTGCATGACACTGGACCTCGAGGCCTGGAGTTGCCCACCCCTGCTCTAGACTAACTTTTTGCCGTGGTTGCACTGGTGTGCCTAACTTTTTTTCTTAGGTGCACCAGCACAAAAGTTAGGTACATCCAAACTTTTCAACCGGCTAGTCGCACCGTGTGTGACACAAGAATTTTTTTTAGTTGCACCACTGAGAAATTAGGGCCCCAGAACGTCTTGCTAAGACCAGAGTGATGTAAATGACGTCATCAGAGAGTGAACACGAGGCTCAGAGCGGATGTTCACACTTTATTACTGCCAGGACTTTCAAGCTGCTTTCATGCTTCTTTTAGACCAGGGGTCTCAAACTTGGGACTTGGGACCAAACTTGTGTTTGACAGCTGCCTATGTCTGCGTACAAGTGTAATTCTGATCTTAGTCATACAAACTGAAGAAACTATATCCAAATACCAAGACCACACCAGTGGTGATGCCTGACAGATGAACATCGGCAAATCTCATGTCCTGCAGAGCTGATGGCAGATGTTCAGCGTTCTAGAATTCAGCGCTTTCAAGAGCACTCTAAACTCAAACAAATACTACAGTATCTGATGTCTGCAGGTTCCTCAACTTTTTTAGTAGTTACACTGAAAACAAACCACCGGCCACCATGATGATAGCTGCCCACTAGTGAGACCACATATGTGTGTGTCATTTTAATACTTTTAATACAATAACAGGCTGGAGGTTGGTTTAACAACAGCTACACCACAACACAGAGGTTAAACCACTTCCACACATTTCAACTGGCATACTTTCTCTACAAAACACTCTGAAAGGTATCTACATAGGCCAGACTCCCACCGACACTGGCACAGACAGCTTTATATTTAACCGTCTGAGGTTACCATGAGAAACTTCGTCTCACTCTTCAAATGCTTACTTGTATTCATGGAGAACAGTGCTGGCTGGATGAGCTTGGTTCTCCAGCGCTTTCTGGTATACTGCATCAGCCTGTTCATGCAGTCCTCTCTGTTCAAAGTGCTGAGCCCAGGCCACATACAGGGCAGCTGTCCTGGTGCCGACGCCCCTACTGAAGACCTGACTGTACAGGGAAACAGGGTCCACGTAATAACTTGCCTGTAAGACACAGTGAGGCAAGAAAAGAGCTCGAGTAAGACTTTATCCAACTTAAAAAGATACAAACTATGGAGACAACTGTAAAAATACAATGTTTTAATCAGACTTACACATTTGATGCAGTAGTTCACATATCTGATGTCATTCGCGTATTGCTCGACATTCAAAAATCTCTGGATGAGACGCTCAAACACCAGCAACATCCCTCTGCCACCATCTGCAGGTAGCCTCTGCTCCAGGTACTCCACAAACCTAAAGAAGCACCCAGAGAAACTTGCCTTCAGTACTTCTCATTTTGTGTGCATCTTTTTGTATTAAATCATCAAAAAATGATTCACAATATTTTTAAGACAGACTATTATTGTATTTTATTAAGATATTACGCAGTTATTTATCTTTGAGGCTGGTTGGTTTGCTGTTTTGTGTGCTCTGAGACAAGCAAACATTTGTGATACATATATTCAGCCTTAATATCCAAAAGTGTTATTAAATAACCTAAAGCTGGAAATAGACGGTAAAGAACAGGAAGTGTGACTTTGAAAAGTAAATCCAGGTCTACTTCCGACGTCAACACTCAAAAATGAAATAAGCGGACGATCATTTGTTGTGTACCTCCTGTGTTTAAGGCTGTCTCTTACAGGTTTCAATATGATTTCAATGGCTGCAGGACTAATATCTTTTCCTAAATTACTATAAAACATTACACATCAATGAAAACAGTCGAAATTCTCACTTGATCCAGGCGTCCAGTGGGTCGTCACCTGTGTATGAGGTCAAACTGTTTTCAAAACGCCTGAAGGGTAGAAGTATGAGTAATTAAAACATGTCTGACAGCTACGTTGTTTATGAATTAGTTATAAAAGATCCATACATTCATGTTAGCACTGAAGCTAACCCCTTCAATTGAGCTAACAGCGGCTAACGTCCATGTTCCATCGTGACTTACTGTAAATACGAGGCGATATCCATTTCGCTTTAAGTTAAAAAAAAAAAAAGTTCTCCCAAGAAAACCGATAGTAAACTTTTTTGTAGCACTTAATTCCTCTGGTTTGATTGTTTGCTATCTAAAAAATTCGCATATTTAGACTTGTTGTTGTCCTCCGAGCCGCTAACGTTCCCCTTACATTTCAAATTTCGCGCTAAGCCAATAGCGTTTCAGAGGGCGTAGGAAATCCACGCCCATAACACGTGACGCACAGGCGTAAAAAAACAAAAGGTATTAAAAACTAAAAAACATCACACAAAGTGCCGTCTCTATTGCCCTTTCTGTGAGATTCAGTTTATTTTACTGAGAAAACAATGCTAAGTTTTACTATTGAAAATTTGAAATGGACGAACGCCATGATTTTAATTTTAATTTACAGGTTCTCCAGTTGAAGGATCAAAGTAAATAAGACTTTACTTCGAAATAATCAGGAAGCACCTGGTGTCTATGTGCTTAAACATCTTCATAATAAATTGCAAGAGAAAAAATAATCATCTGAAATTAATTAATTTACTCTAAAAGCAGTGTTACATTTGATTTACACGTACATTGTATAGACTATACATTTAAACAAGCAGTATATTTAAACTAAAATACAGACATCTCTCTGTTTTAAAATAAAATAAAATAAAATAAAATAAAATAAAATAAAATAAAATAAAATAAAATAAAATAAAATAAAATAAAATAAAGAATCACTGGTTCAACGCCACCGTTCGAAGCCCCAAAGTAGCCCATGAAAAGCCGTTTCAGAAGCCCCGTACACGCAGGGGGTGGGGTGGAGAAGCGGAGTTTGCGACGTTACGTAGCCGCCATTTTGTTTCACCGGGAGTAAAGAAGCCAGCCTGAGAGCCCCGGCGTGAAAATTTCCCCTCATTCGGACTACCTAAATCACGGCGGAGCTGCATCGTGCACCCAAATTCAGATTCGCATGGTACGTACGCTCTCGAGGCAACGAGAGGGGATGTTAAATTCGGCTATTAACCTGCAGCTTTCTGCACTCTAATGTTCGTTGCATTGCACGACCGGGTGCTGTTAGCATAGCAGCTCGTTTTCATGGCTAGCCGGCATTTTGGAAAAAAAACGGGCCTGTTTGCATATACTAATGGGAAAATAAATGTGCTCTACATTATGAGTAATGGGCCAAACACACGGAATCACCACAAATTGCACGTGCTTGACCTTTGGACCTTGTTTAACTAATGCTAATCTCGTGCATTTTGCACTTCCATGCGTACTGCGCTCGGTGAGGCCTGTGATCTGTACGAGCCACAGATGTTAGCTCACAGACGCGTGGTGACTACATGGATGCCGCCTTTTCTGCTCACTGCTTAGCTGTTTGTTTGTGTGCTGTTTGGGCAAGTTTGTTTTTCCGCTGGCGTCTAACACGTGTTGTTAGTTTCGCAGCGTCTGCAGGACTTGCCTGTAAACCAAGTGGACGATGGCGCCAAACTGCACGCTTGATGTTGTTGTCCCACTTTAGTCCGGCGAATGCGTTGCTGCTGGTGGTAAATGTTTGCTCACTTCTCTGCGCAGATGTCTGAAGACATGGCCACAGATCACGTTAACGGGAACGGGACGGAGGAGCCGATGGACACTACAGCCGAGGTGACCCACTCGGAACACTTCCAGGCTTTACTGGAGGCAGGTTTACCTCAGAATGTCGCTGAGAAGCTGGATGAACTTTATGTAGCAGGTAAGAGAACACCCTGCCTCCGTTTTCAGCTCACAGTGTGTGCACAGATAAATCCACCCTCCAGCACACAGTGTGAAAGTCAGTAGTATCTGGAAATTTGTGAATGAAATGTAGTACAGTACCTGGAGAGGTGATGCAAACATTACAAACACAGGAGTGGTGTGCTGGTCTAGCCTGCTTGAGATGACATGGGGTAGCCCATGAACCAAAGTTGAGTTTGACTGAGTTAAAATATTTGTCATGAACTCTTTGAAATCCTCCGCCACTTTCTCCTTTGTTGTTCAGGTATGTTTATTAGTGTTTAATTACCACTAAAACCTTCCTGCTCCTGAAGGAATGTCAGCACAAGTTAATGAAATTTGTAATTCAGAGCAATATTAACTCTTTTTAGTGTCTTTACTGGTTATTTTGTTAACCAGTAATACAAATAAAACAATGACAGTGAATTAAGCAACACCCTAACTGAACAACAGTGAACAGGGAGCTGATTCAAAGTAGTTAAACCAGTCGTATCAGCTGCTGACAGATGGCTGAGGGAGCATCAGATTGATCATTGTCACACTGAAGTATAGAAATAGGATCAAATGAAATAACTCCTGTTACTACAAAGGCCTGGGTGAAGGTAGATGGAGGCCAGCTGGCAGGAACAAAAGAGCAGCTGTGTGTCCGCAGCAGGTCAACAGGACTGTCTGAACCTCCAGCAGATGGTGACAAACACTGAAAGGAGACCTCAGGGCTTCTTCAGCCTCCTGAAACCTGGCAGTATGACAGGAAAACTTTTATGTCCATAATAATGAAACTGCTTCATACCTTCAGCTGTTTTACTTTGCTTCCTTTTGGATCACATTGATGATCCATCCTCAATCCTCTGTTGCACAACTGCACGAGTCCCACTGCCTCTGTGAACCTTCTCACCTGTGCTGAGTATTGATGAAGTTGATCGGGTTTCTAAAGTTGTATGGGGGTGTTTCTGGTGGGGTCATGTGCGTTTGCCAGTTATTTTGAGGTGTGTTTTGTGTCCGTCAGGCCTGGTAGCACACGGTGACCTCGATGAAAGAGCTATTGAGGCTTTGAAAGAATTCAACGAAGATGGAGCCCTGCAGGTGTTGGTGCAGTTCAAAGAGAGCGACCTGTCACACGTGCAGGTGAGTTTTAAATCATGCGAGACATGAAGGGAACGCTCGGCTGTTTATTTTTACCCCCTAACGGCAGCTAAATGTCCAGGTTTCTAATTTTCTGCTGTTTCTTATTCCCCAGAATAAAAGTGCCTTTCTCTGTGGGGTGATGAAGACTTACAGACAGAGAGAGAAACAAGGGACTAAAGTTTCAGACTCCATCAAAGGACCAGATGAGGCTAAAATCAAAGAACTCCTCGAGAGAACCAGCTACACACTCGATGTTACAACCGGCCAGAGGAAATACGGCGGACCCCCGCCAGAGTCCGTGTACTCGGGTTCTCAGCCCCCTGTCGGCACAGAGGTACTCCTCGTCAATTCAAAAAAAATAGGGTCTTGTATTATTTCCTGAGATGTTACATTTTCACATCATGTCATTGGAGAATTTGGTTGTTTTGAAATTAGGAAGCTGTAAACAAAAGGCAGGCACAGACAGAGGTGCTTTAAATGGTTAAACCCACGATCAGAGTGGCGTCAAGATTCACTTCATCAGATCCTGTGAAGCAGGAATCACTGCTCTGCTGAACAGGCATAAACGTAGCTAAAGTAAACTTACTTATATTTAAGATTTTATAAACCACCACCAATCATTTTGACAATATTTGGTCTGAAATTTTATTCACAGAGGTTTTAAAACTGATACATCAACACCGAGTTTGATTTATAAAAAGTGTTGGGAAGAACATGAAGCAAAAGAAGAGTTACTTTTAACGAGGTGAAAATTATGCGAGACTTCAGTTTCTTACTGCTGAGAAAAAAAGATGTATAAATTAAACTCTGAGGACCTAACGAGATGTACTTTGAGTTTTAGCTGCACTGGGGTATATATTTGGTGTATTCAGATATGCTGACTTCGCTGTGACAGGTCTCGCAATGTGATGTGGGCTTTGGATCCGTAGATGTTGATGTGAATTGTTTGCGTGTCATTGGCCTCACGTGGACGGGGGGAACAAATGCACTGCTCAGTTTATCCACGGCCTGTCATACAGTCGCCTAACGGTGCAGAACGAGGAGCATTTCTTTGCTGGATTAAGTGGAGATTAGTAAAGTTTGGGCTGTCAGTTCTTCTATAGCATGAACAGTTTCAGCATTCTCTGTAGTTCCTGTGGTCCGATACTAGCACCGGTTAACTCATCTTAACAGATGAGGCGTTTGTGCAGAAGGCCCCTGACGGTCCAGCTCAGTTATTCCTGCCTAGTTTTTCCCTTCAGTTGTTTTTACGTGGGACTGAGCGTAGCCAGTTTTAAACTTCTTAAAGTGTGCAGCACAAGCTAACCCGACACTGTCTCAGTGTTTACCAATGTCAAAATGCAAGGATGCATAAGACTGCAAATATTTCTGTGCATATTTTATATCAATATAAATTTACTGAGATTTTTAACATGCACGTGTTTAAAAAGGCGTAAAATGTGATTTTCCTGTTGAGCAGCGTTTATAGGAAAAAGCTGTACAGACATGAAGTGTTTTCAGTCCGCTTCACTGAAGCAACTTTAAGAGTAACTCCTAATTAACATAAACTGCACTGTTGAAATGAAACCATTTTCAGCTGGTTAACTAATAAATATTCAATAAAACCAGTTGCTTGTGGGTGTTTATATTTAGAATATCCTTCTTTCTTTTTTGTCCTCTTGTAGATCTTTGTTGGGAAGATTCCCCGTGATCTGTACGAAGACGAGCTGGTTCCTCTGTTTGAGAAGGCCGGTCCGATCTGGGACCTTCGGCTAATGATGGATCCGCTGAGTAGCCTGAACAGGGGCTATGCCTTCATCACGTTCTGCAGTAAAGAGGGGGCCCAGGAGGCCGTAAAGCTGGTGAGTTTGTCAGGAGCACGCGGCTGAGCATGTCGCTTTTCTAGAAAGTGACGGCGTTCAGGAGACCTGTCACTTTGTAACGGAGGAAGCTGTAGCTCAGGAGGTGAAGGGGGTTATATTCTGATTGGAATGGGTTGGGCTGGTGGTTCGATCCCTGCTCCAGTCTGCATGCCAAATATTCTTGGGCAAGATGCTAACCCCAGGTTGCTCATGAATCTGTGTGAATATTAGATATAAAGCACTTTCGCATGAAAACCATAGAGAAAAGTGCTGCATAAATGCATGAATGAGGCATGTTGTTCTGCTCTATGAGAATAGGTTACCTCAAAAACCTGTGTGCTGGAAAGGTTTTGAGTTTAATGAGAGTTCATCGGCTTTATTTTTTGCAGTGCAATAATCATGAGATTCGCCCTGGCAAGCACATCGGGGTGTGCATATCTGTTGCCAACAACCGGCTATTTGTTGGTTCAATTCCCAAGAGTAAAACAAAG